TCTTGACCCAGGCCAGGACACTCAGATTCAATTCCTGGAGAGAAAGGAATTGTGAGGCAGGGTGGGTGAGGGCTCTCCTAAACTGCTAGGTTGTTAGTCTAAAGATGGCCGTGTCCACCATTTCCACAAGATGGGGAAGGCCAACATGAGAATGGACACAAGGTGAGGGAAAAGAACTGATAGATAAAATCCATCATTCTTAACAACGTTATTACTGACAGTCATGGAGCACTTGCACAAACAAGTCTTAGGTACCCCRCATGAAGCATCTCATTTAATGAAGGAGGTATTAATAATCCTACGCAGGAGAAAACTGAGGCCACAGAAGTGACTTAACTTCTCCTAACCCCCTACTTAGCAAATGGCAGAGCTGGAACTCAGACTTCAGTGTCCCTGAGGCCTTATTCTCCAGGCTGCGCCATCTCCGAGTTCAATGGACTTCTCACATGGGAAAGAGAAGACCACTACGCTGTCAGGTAAATAAAAAGGACATCTATTCCATTAATGGAACTTCTGTGCCAAAATGCATTTTCTATGATGTCCTGTGTCAGTCCTGGAAGCAGTCTGAACTCCTTGGAAGAGAGTTCATATTTATGGTAGTTATGACAGCAATTGCTGTAATAAGATAAGAATGAGCTGTTTTATCTCATAATTATTTGACAATTGTCATTTCAGGGGTGGCATGGCTATTGTCATCCCCAAATAAAGATAATTCTGAAATGCATTAGGTGATTTGGAAAAGATAAGATCTCATCTTCATTTTTCCTCTATGGCAAGTGTGATGCTATTACTCATGATTACTTAATGATTCAGTGTAGCACAGAGAAATCCCTCTCAAGCCTGTCTATACTTCCAGAGCCAAGYTCCAAGCAGAAATGATTAAAGCAAGTTTCTTTTAATTAAACTTGTCGAATAATCCTAAACAGTCTTTTAGTTTCTATGTACTTTGAAGCAACTGGGTTCCAGGAATGGGTCTAATAGGTATTTCTCTGAAGGACAACTTTTCTGCTKGCATCAGGAAGTAGCTCAGAGTCAGAACACAGGCCATGTGGGCAGAGACCAAGAGACTTCCATCAACAGCCATGGCACTGTRCAATTTACAAGATCTCATCCCTTCTCTGAAAAATACACCCAAGCTTAAAGAACTTGAGGGGTCCTTTGCCAAGTCCAGTTGGAGAAATATACAGGCAGAACTATGGCCAAGGGAGCTTTGAGTATCTGCCACTCATCTGCCCAAGTGGACTAGACGTCCAGGGCTCACTGCTCCAACCCAGAAAAGAAGGCCAATAGGCAGAGGCAATAGTGTCCGCTGATTTAGGAGAGCATGGTCTTTGGAGACAAACAGCTCACATTTAAATCCTGGCTTTTGCTCTTTCTAGCTGTGTGACCTTGGCCAAATTACTTAATCTTTCTGTGCCATAGATTTCCCATCTGCTGATGATAATGAACGGCTTCCTTCAGAAAGCTGTTATGAGGATTAAATAGCTTAAGTTTGAATAGTGCTTATCACACTGCTAGGGCTTGAATGGAAAAGATGTGTCTTTTTGCTCCCAAAGGAAAAGAGAAGGAAGTTTCATTTACTTTACTTAGCAGACATATTAATTAGGATTCATACACAATAATGGGAAATGCTTTTATAAAGATAATAATTTTTGACATTTGGTTACCACGGCTTTGCTAATAAAGCTTCCAAATAGAAGACCTCTCTTTTTAAGGAATAGATAGGAAAGGACATGGTCTATTCATCTTATAGTAATGCTATGAGCAGCTAAGACTTCCAGTGAGCTATAAAACATTGTGCATCATATGTCACATACAGGGGCAATATTCTCATCCCAACTCCTTTTCCTTGTCTGTCACAGTACTCAATTTTTGTTTGTTTGTTTCTACTAGCAGGAACAAACCCTGTCCAGTCCTCTGAATGGGTACCATCTTCCCTTTAGTGCTGGGTACCACATACACATTTTAGTCCCTTAGAAGCCTGACTTGAGTAACAATTGGTCCCTCGTAACTCTCCCATTGGCAAAGCATTAAGTCCATATCTAGGAGGAACTGGGAAGAGCCCATTCATTTATTTCATTCTTTCATTTATTTATTTTCTGAGACCTTTTTCTGTAGATTAAACACCAAGAAAAGGAAGAGAATGTTAAAAAAAAAAAACTGACATTTTAAGTTTTAGGCAAAATTTCACCGAGATCAAATGGTGTCCTGAATAAGAGAGGGTGGGATGCTAACCAGAGGAGGAACCTGTGGAAGCAGCACAGCTGAATTTCTGGTCCTGGGAGGGGTCAGGTCTCAGGTCTCCCTTATCAAGAGGAGCAGCAGGAAAGAGGTGAGTAGCTTCTTTGCAGCAAAGGTTTCTTTGGGTAGAAAAATCTCATTTTGAGAGGTGTTTTATGGTTTAAATGTGAAGTGTGCCCCCAAACCAAAAAYTCATGTGTGAGACAATGCAACAAAGTTTAGAGGTGAGTTAGCTTCCACATATTAGTGAAAACATTTGACCTTTGGTTTTGGGGGATTGTCTTATTTAACATGATAGTTTAAAATCATTCTTCTTTATGGCTGAGTAATATTCCCTTAAGATGACTGGGTTATGAGAGATTTAACCTAATCAGTACATTAATTTTCTGACAGGGATTAACTAAATAGTAACTCCAGGCAGGTAGAGTGGGCTGGAGGAGGAAGGTCCTAGGTACAATGCTTTGAGGTATATATTCTGTCTATGGTGAGGGGAGTCTGGGTCTCTCTGCTTTCTGGTGCTATGTCCTGAGCCATGTTCCTCCACCATGCTCTTCCACCATGATGTTCTGCCTCACCTTGGGCCCCAAAGAATGGAGTGGGGCCATCAAGGGAGAGAGACCTCTGAAACAGTGAACCCCCCAATAAACCTGTCCTCCTCTAATTGTTCTTGTCAGGTCTTTTGGTCACAGAAGCTCAAAGGCTGACTGCAGTCACAGGGGAGGAGGAAATGGTCTCAGTCCATACAGAAGTCCCTCTGTGTGATCTCTGAGGCAGTTTATTTGCAAACGGCTTGTCTTTCACTTTTCTGGGCAGTTTCATTTGCTTTTTAAGAGATTTCTCTAATGCAGTTCTCTGGCTTTCAACTCCCACAGGAATGTTAGGGCAGTGTTTGGAAATGAGAAAGATAAAAATGCATTCCTCTTAGAAGTTCCTCTAGAAGGAGGGGAGCTGGCGTGGAGGTGGGAGCTGTTCTGTGCCTTGGCGAGGCCATCTGCATGTTTTGTCCTTGGAGGCAGCGTGGCCCCAGGAGAGGGCAGGGAGGTCCTTCCATGCCCTGGTTGCAGGGAGCTCAATCTCCTTAAAGGTCAGATGATTCTGGACAATGTGAGCAGGAGGCCAGGGGATATTACACTGGTCTGAGCAGGTCACTTGTAGCGCTGTTTACACCAGCAAAGGCCTGGAAACACGGCAGATGATTTTTCCATAGTCAGATTAGCTGAGCTGGGGCCCAGTGAAGCATGTATTTTGGCAAAAGTGTGAATGTAAATTTGAAAGATATTGATAAGTTAATACTAGAATTACAATAAAATGTTCCAAACTTTGCTTTTACTTTGCTAGGATCCAGGCCCTCGGAAACACAAAAGCCAATATTAACTTATGTTATTTCCCTTCTTTTCAAGTTCAAGTTCAGCCACCGGTTCCCACAGAGGTCACTGCTAATTTAACTAAGGAAGGTTTAAAAACAAGCAAAAAGAACACTGTTTTCTTTGCTTTCTTTATTTCTCATGCTGTTCTTTCCCTGTCTCTCCTCCCTGCTCCCGTATCTCTTGTTTTCCATATATACTTCCCACCAACATATGTAGCTTATTTTCTTTATTTTTCATGGTGTGAGGTTTGAACCTAGTGGTGCTCTACCACTGAGCTACATCYCCAGCCCTTYCTTACCTCATATTTTGAGACAGTCTCACTAAATTGTCCAGCTRGACTCAAACTTGCAATCCTCCTGCTTCAGCTTCCCAAATCACTGGGATTGCAGGTATGTTCTACTGTGCCCAAGTATGTATATTTTTTCAATAGTGTTATGATTCATCTCCCATATATATTTTTAAAATAAAACGATATGTAAYTATTTTAAACACATATAGATAACAATATACTCTAACAAGTGAGGCACAGATAGATCATTGTGAATAAGCAGCATTTATGTGAATGCAAATACCTGTATTTGTGTAGGTTATGGGCTGAATATTTGCATCATCCCAAATTCACATGCTAAAGCCTTTATTCCTATTGTTGTAATAATACTTGGATGTGGTGCATTTGATGATCATTAGAATTAGGTAAAGTCATGTAAGTGAGGTCTAAATGATGAAATTAGTGCCACAGGTGAACAACAAGAGGGAGAAGAGCTCTCCTGCATTCCACCATGTGAGGACACAGCCAAAGGTAGCCATTTGGGAACCAGGAGGAGGACCTTGCCAGGAACCAAACCTGCAGGCACCTTGATCTTGAGCTTTCTGGGCTCCAGGACTCTGTTTAAATCTCYAGTCTGTGGCATTTTGTTACAGCAGCCTGAGCAAAGTAAGACCATTTAAGTATACATGCTTGGTAATTCAAAGACTATTTCTGGAAGGCTAAACAAGAAACTAGGATGACTGACTGTGTCCCAGACCGCAGGAAGTTCCAAAGGACCTGAAATGAGGAATGAAAAGATCTACATTCACACTAAGTAAGACCTACTTATTGGAATATGCCATTATATGTATAAAATGCTTTTTAGTAATAAAAATCACTATTTCTTTCAAAATGTCTTTCTCATAGACTCATCAAAACATAACACAGCATCATATACAAAGTCCCCACAGCTTTCTAATTTCAATRATCCATTTTGGGCTTATGAAGAAATTTGTGACACAACTTTTAACATTCCCCAACAATGTTGACTGCCCCAGTGTCACACCYGCTCTCAGAAGGCGGGAATTCCAATGCTCATTTACTACACAGTGTCTTAATGTGCCAGAGGGTAAGGTGAGACTTACCAGTAGAACCGATTTGGTACCACCCCTTCTTGGATAAGCTGCCATCTTCTCCCAAACTCGGCAGAGCTGTATAACTGTAAAAAAAAAGAGAGAGAGAGAGAGAGAAAGAGAGAGAGATCATGAGCCCTAGGGTACACCAAATGCACAAGCATCAGTTTTCACTTTTAAATCATTAATAATAATACCTGCCGTTCATTGAGCACCTGCTACATGCCAACCAAGTGTTCCAATAACTCATCTCTATTCTTCACATAAATTCTTCAAAATAGATATTAACAAATACCTTTTAGAGTTGAGAAAATCGGGGCTCAGAAGGGTTAGTTGACTTGTTAGAAATCACATGCCAGAAAGGATTGGAATCCATACCATGTTCTGCCTGGAGATAAAGTCTGGGGTCCCACTTGACTTGGCATCCACAACACTGTGGAGACTGGAGGGTGCAATATGTCGACTTAGCTCAGTGTAACCTGTACCTGACTAWAATGATAGAAAGGCACAGATCGTCCCCCAGGATAAAGGAAGGGCCAAGAGTCAGCAAGGGATGCTTCATAGACTTAGTGGAGAACTAGTTGGGACATGAGTGAATGGCAGGATTCAAACTAACAAAAACAGCATTACTCACAGGGGAGCGGCATGGGTCAAAGTGGTGAGGTGGGCAGGGACCCTGGATGAACAAGCCTGGTTTACGTAAATGAGTGCAGATGAGCATGCTGAGGGCAACGTGGAAGAAGCTCTGAACGTCACATTAGGGAGACCAGACTTGATCCTGCAGAAGGAGGAGCCAATGCTGGTCTTTATGAGTCACCAAAGGAACCTCAGGTTATAAAACAGCACTCCACATTGACTAAGCTCTTACCAGAACCAAGTGCTTTGCATGCATTATGTGTTAATGCATCGCTCTGATAAATGAAATTATTCTGTTTTACAGATGGCTCCACAGCTGGTGAGATTTAAAATCCACTCGCTACACTGCTTTAGTACTCACCCAGGGCAACTGCACAGAGTCCCTACTCACGGGATGGGGATTGGCCCTCATATAGTTCATCTCTCAGAATGTCTTTTTCCTTTTTTTATGGCTTATTCCTCATTGCTCCTTGACATTCCTGCTCTGGTAGTCTTTATGTCATACTGTGATTTTTTTCTGCCCTGAAAAGCATCCTCTGATGGCATCCCGTTGCTCTTTGTACCCCAGTTCCCATGGGCACTTTGTTACTGATTTGGAAAAGGTCATTCAGAGCATCTCTTTTCTGCTGTGTTCCTGGTCTGTAATGCACCTGCCCCTCAGTATTCCACCAYGGTATCTGCCGGCTCCCACAGAATGACTGGTGAGTCACACTACACTGAGCACCGTGACCGCCCAGCTTGCTCATCTCTGCCCAGCCACGACACTCAGGGGAGGGTCAAATGACTCACCAAGTGACTCACCACGGCTGTAGATGCACCAGGCGTGACCGAGGAACAATGCATCTCAAGAGAATATTTACTGACCCTTTAAGGAACCTGCTATGACATTGTGTCCATTTGATCAGAACACAGCCTGACTCCACAGAGGATGCTACTAAGATGAGCAGCTCCATCAGATACAGCTGGAGAGTGTTGGAGCATCCAGGCAAGGAGAATCTGTGGCTTTTTATTTCAATGTACATTGTATTATTTTTTCTTTGCTCATCATTAGATTTTGGATCTTGAATTGTTTCCCCAAATCCCATGTGTCAAAGGATTGATCCCAGAGGGACCCCACTGAGAAGCACTGGAACCTATGAGCCGTGAGGCCTCCTGGAAGTTGCTTAGGTCATTGGAAGCATCCCCTTGTTTTAGTCAGCATTTTTRCTGCTATGACCAAAAGACCTCACAAGAAACATTTTAGAGGAGGAAAAGTTTATTTGGGGGCTCATGGTTTCAGAGGTCTCAGTTCACAGATGGCCGGTTACATTGCTCTGGGCGGGAGGCAAGGCAGAACATCATGGYGGAAGCGTATGGCTGAGGAAAGCAGCTCAGGACATGGAACCAGCGAGACCAACGAGACAGCTTCACACTCCAGCTCCAAATTTCCCTTTTACCTGCTCTATTTTTTTTTTAAACCTAGACCCTACCCTTCTTCATATGAGATTAGGGTGAAAAGAGTTCACACCACTGTAGTATGCCTATGTCTATATGCAAAACCTTGTAAATATCTATGTTTACACGCACAATTCAATACAAACATAACAGAGTCAAGATAGTTCAAATTAATAAYTTTGTGTATGAAGCCTAGACTCACGTAGATCCTGTAAGAATCATATATAAACTCTAAGGGCTCATATGGTTACCCCCAGGAATTGCCATCCCTGTTCCCACAGATAATTCATCTCTGTGAAGGATCGTTGGGTGCCAGCATCTGTGTTTTTTATTTTTTCCCTGTCTTTGTAAATTTATCACCTAGGCTTGGATTCAGAGCCTGTGGACCAGTCAGGTAGGTCCCATGATATTTGTTCCTATCTTCAAAAGGCTGCTTTGTTATTTGTGAGCATCTAGAGGTCCCTGGAGCAGTGGGTATCCAAAACAATTCAATAAACCAACCCTCTCTCATTCAGCTTAGTGACATCCATTCCAATTCTCCCTCTGGAAAGGTACCCTTTGGTCTTAGTGGGTGGGCTTTCTCATCCTCCCACTCCCACCTAGGCACATTCCCCTCCTCTGCCTTTACCCAGGCAGACCACCCTGCCACAGGTTCCTTCAAGCCTTGTCTGCCTTGATGCCAGGTTTTCTTTCAGGCCACATCAAAGGCTGCCTTCTTTATAAACCTTCACCTACCCATGAAGATTCCGACTGGCCTCATCTCCAAAGACCTGTGATTCAACAACAGATACTAGTGAACTACAGATCCCATATTTATATTTAGTTTTTAGTCGTCTTTAAAGAGAGCCTTCTAAYAATGTAAGGTAGGAACTTCTTCCTATATAAAATCATGCTAAAATATCTGAGAATACTCCTGCTTTTTAAATGATTGCAATGTTTTAGATGTCATGAATCCCATTCTTCTGTATGTATAGATGCCTAGAGCACAGTAGATAATGGGGAGGGGGTTGGTTCTGCACCAAGTTAAGCCCCCTGTCATAAATCTACATAGTAAGGAACTCAGGTTTTTCAGCAGATAATAGAATTAGAGGAATACGCTTTGCTTCCAAGGATACGTGGCTGTAGTCTAATATCTTAAAATTAAGTCTATAAATATCAGTGCATTTGAAACTCCTAAAGATTTGCACATTCACCCTAAGACAACATGGCTCTGTGTACCCCACCTACGACTTCAAACATTTTCTCCCTAAGAAATTAATTGTCCAGCCTGGTGTTATACTAAAACCAACTCTCAGCCATTCAAGTTAATGTGTTAATTAAACCTACAGAGTCTGACAGCAAAGTTCTCCTCCGCAAAGAAGGGAAAGGTATGAAAGCACTTTCCCCACTGATTCCATCTCAGCTGCCAGTGGAAGGCTTTTCGTGTAGAACAAGTCAATGTCCTTTAATAAAATTCATAGTGTTGGCAGCACCTAAATAAGATTTATTTCCCTCCCTGTCTGTGTCTAGCTCCAAGGTTTCTTTTGACTGTCAGAAGACAGAATGGAGAACTATCATTACTATCTGTCACATCAGAGAAAGCAGCAGCAGCTTTCTCCAGCATTGCCAAGAGAAACAGAGAGAGAGATTAGGAAGAGAAAGAAAGAAAACTTGAGCAAGTTTTAAGAGGGTAATGTGCATCTACTAATGCTTTGTCATGCATCCCAAAATGCCATTCGCAGAAGGTATTTGTTCCGATTCTGCAAACGCTGGTACAAACTATGGGAAAAGAATAGAAGCAGCAGAAATTTTGAAAGGGGAATAGGAAAGGATTCTGGTTAACTAAGAATAAAAGGCAGAAAATCCTTGTCTAAAATCATTCTATGATATCTGAGACCACTTCCCTGCCTTTGTAAATWTAACTTAATGAACAAAAACCCAATATTCATCCACGTTCAAGACCTATTAGCAGTCCCAGGGCCTAAACCTCCACACTGTCATTGTGCTGGTGTGGGGCTGTCAACACTTCTCCTTTCTATCACATTTCTCTCCTGAGGTTTAAAAAAAAAAAAAAAAATCTCACGTTGACTTGTTTTCTCACCATCTGCCTTTGTGTGCTATAAGAAGAGTGCAGATAAAAATAGACTTAATTGTAAAGGATGCAACTTCAAGGGTTAGTTTTGATGTGAGTTTATAACCAACTCTCAGGCATCTGTGGYGCCCTCTTCAGGTGGCCGGTGAAGCTACAATTTGGATGCTAGGCACAGTCAAGAGATAAATAGAGCTGAGTTTCGAAAGGGGACTAAAGAGCTTGAATGCGAGAATGAATGAGATGTAGTATCTTTAGCTATAGCAGATTAATATGGGGTGAGAGAAGGGGGTATTAAAGTAGTTTCCTCTAAGTTCCCCCTAATCTTATTATTCAGATATTGGTTAAAACCCTAGAAGAATGGCATCTTTTTCAACATACTGTAGAAAGGAAATTCAACATACTGTATTGATGCAAATGTTTGTAATTGTCACTGTCCCTGGAAGGTCTTTTCAACACTCCTAAATTGAATCAGGGTTATCTTCTCTTTTCAGATTGATATATAATATAAATTTTCTTTTGCAGCTACAAAATTGTTGCAAAGACACCAATTCCATAGGAATCGGTCCAAGGCAAATTGCACTGAAGCTAAGAGTCCTGATAATATGTTTGAAGTCTCTGGTTGACAGAACGGGATGCTGTTCACCACAAAGCTTCCTGGGGTAACTTACCTAGTCAGGGGGCAGTTTCCTGGGAATCTGCCACACAACTCATGGAGAGACTTCCTTTGGTGGAACCCTTTCTGCTGTTGGCTCTTTTTGAGGTTGCCTGCTCACTCCTCTTTCCTTCTCTGCCCTTAACATTTGGTAGGCAGGGGGGCTCCGAATTGCATTTCTCAAAAAGGCTGACAGAAAACCCTGCCAGTTCTATTTATTTGCCTCATCTTAATTCTGCCCCAGGGATGGCCTCAGAACAAAGCACTCATCTACCTCATGGTTCTCGGGTCCT